CCTGCCAAAATTAAATCAAGAACAGATAAGCAATTTAAATACACCTATAACCCTCTGGAAATAGAAGCAGTCATCAAAAGTCTCCCAACCAAAAAAAAAAAGCCTAGGGCCAGATGGCCTCAGTGCAGAATTCTACCAGAAATTCAAAGAACAGCTTATACCAGTTCTTCTTAAAGTTTTCCACGCAATAGAAGCAGAAGGATTTTTGCCAAACTCTTTTTACAAGGCTTCAGTAATATTGATACCCAAGCAACACAAAGATACAACTTAGAGAACTTCAGACCAATATCCCTCATGAACATTGATGCAAAAATACTCAATAAAATACTGGCAAGTTGGATCCAAGAACACATCAAAACAATCATCCACCATGACCAAGTAGGTTTCATCCCAGGGATGCAGGGATGGTTCAACATACAAAAATCCATCAATGTAATCCACAATATAAACAAGCTGAGAAACCAAAATCACATGATCATCTCACTAGATGCTAAAAAAGCCTTTGACAAAATCTAACACCCCTTCATGATAAAGGTCTTGGAGAGATCTGGAATAACAGGAACATACCTAAACATAATAAAACTATATACAGCAAGCCAACAGCCAATATTAAACTAAATGGACAGAATCTCAACATGATTCCTCTAAAATCAGGAACAAGACAAGGCTGTCTACTCTCTCCATACCTCTTCAATATTGTACTTGAAGTTCTAGCTAGAGCAATATGACAACAAAAGGAGATCAAGGGGATACAAATTGGAAAGGAAGACGTAAAACTTTCATTATTTGCAGATGATATGATCATTTACATAAGTGACCCAAAGAACTCTATCATGGAACTCTAACAGCTGATTAACACCTTCAGCAAAGTGGCAGGCTACAAGATCAACTCAAGAAAATCAGTAGCCCTACTATATACAGATGATAAAAGGGCTGAGAAAGAAAAGAGAGAAACATCACCTTTTACAATTGCCACAAACAACATAAAATACTTTGGGGTAACGCTAAGCAAACAAGTGAAAGACCTGTATCGCAAGAACTTTGAGTCTTTGAAGAAAGAAATTAAAGAAGACACCAGAAGGTGGAAAGATCTCCCATGCTCTTGGATAGGTAGGATCAATGTAGTAAAAATGGCAATCCTGCCAAAAGCAATCTACAGATTCAATGCAATCCCCATTAAAATCCCAGCACAATTTTTCACAGACCTTGAAAGAACAACAATCAATTTTATATGGAAAAACAAAAAGACCTATGATAGCCAAAACAACCCTATTCAAGAAAGCATTGTCTGGAGGCATCACCATCCCTGATTTCAAGATCTATTATAGAGCTATACTCCTGAAAACAGCTTGGTATTGGCACAAAAATAGACAGGTAGACAAATGGAATCGAACTGAACACCCCAATATTAACCCATACATGTATGAACATCTGATCCTCGACAAAGAAGCTGAAAATATGCAATGGAAAAAAGAAAGCATCTTCGACAAATGGTACTGGTATAACTGAATGCTGGCATGTAGAAGAATGTGGATAGATCCATGTTTATCATCATGCACAAAACTTCAGTACAAATGGATCAAAGGCCTCAACATAAATCCAGTCACACTGACCCTCTTAGAAGAGAAAGTGGGAGGTACCCTTGAATGAATTGGTACAGGAGACTGCTTCCTGAACATAACACTAGTAGCACAAACACCGAGGTCAAAAATTAACACATGGGTCCTCCTGAAACTGAGAAGCTTCTGTAAGGCAAAAGACGCAGCCAACAAGACAAAAAGGCAGTCCACAGAATGGGAAAAGATATTCACCAACCCCACATATGACAGAGTGCTGATCTCTAAAATTTACAAAGAACTCAAGAAGCAAGTCTCCAAAACACCAAAGGATCCAATTAAAAAGTGGGCTACAGAACTAAATAGAGAATTCTCGATAGAGGAGTCTAAAATGGTTGAGAGGCACTTAAGAAAGTGCTCAATATCCCTAGCCATCAGGGAAATGCAAATCAAAACAACTCTGAGATACTATGTTACTCCTGTCATAATGGCAAAAATCAAAAACATCAATGACAGTTTATGCTGGAGGGGATATGGAGAAAGGGGAACTGCTGGTGGGAATGCCAACTCATACAACCACTGATTTGGAAATCAGTATGGAGAGTCCTCAGGAAAATGGGAACCAGCCAACCTAAGACCCAGCAATTCCACTCTTAGGCATATATCCAAAAGATGCATATTCATACAACAAGGATGTCTGTTCCACTATTTGTAATAGCCAGGACCTGAAGCAACCTAGATGCCCCTCAATTGAAGAGTGGATAGAGAAAATGTGGCACATTTACACATTGGAGTACTATTACTATTCTTCAGAAGAAAACAATGGAATCTTGAAATTTGTAGGCAAATGGATGGCACTAGAAGAAACCATCCTGAATGAGGTAACCCAGTCACAAAAAGACAAACATGGTATGTACTCACTCTTGTATGGATTTTAGACATGGATCAGGGGACTGCCAGCCTACAATCCCACTGCCAGAGAGTCTGGGAAACAGAACCTTCAACTACTGACTGATGGAAGCAGAGGCAGATACCCACAGCTAAACACTGAGCTGAACTCAAGGAACTCAGTGACAGAGAGGGAGGGCTGATGAGCATAGGGGTCAAGACTGGGCTTGTGTAACCCACAGAAACAGCTGACCTGAACAAGGGGGGACTCTTGAACCCCAGACTCATGGCTTGGAATCCAGCATGGAACTGATCCAGATTCCTTGAAAGAGGAGGCCTAGGCAATCTATGGAGCCTTGGATAGAAGATTAGTATTTATCCCTGGCATACAAATGGACTTTGGGTCACCATCCCACAATGAGAGATGTTCTCTTAGCCTGGACTCCTGGAGGAGGGCCTTGGTTCTGCCCTGGATGAAATGACAGACTATGGACACCCTCCATGGAGGGCCTCACCCTCTCTGGGGAAAGGAATGGGGACTGGGGGAGGGGGATGTGGAATTGGTGGGAGGGTGTGGGAGGAAGAGCAGGAGAGGGAGAGGGAGCTGGGATTGACATGTGAAGCAACCTTGTTTCTAATTTAAATTAAAAAGAAAAAGAAATAGCGTGGGTCTTTGACATTATTGAATACTTGAAGTGATACCAACCCAGATAAGCATTTATAATTTACTTAAACTGTAAGTAAAATAAATCCCTATTTGTTTGGGCCTTTCTTATTAAACTTCAGAAACAACAAAAACAAAACTATGGCTAATGCATATAGAGAAAGAACAGGGAACATGGTGAAACATAACTAAAACTCACACCAGATAATAATTCATGCCTGTGAAGATGGGAATGATGGCTACAAAGTAAATAGTTGAGAAATGTTGCTGCAATTACTTTAAAAGCTGGTGGTTCTTCAAAATGTGTTTTAGTTAAAATTTATTACAAGAGCCTAGATTTGTTGGTAAGATGGGACAGACAGGTATTATTCTCAGGTGGAATTTTTCTTTAATTTCTTGTGATTAAGAACAGGATTGGTCATTAAGTCCTACCCATGGTTGTGCCCATAGTTCAAGCCACAGAAGGTAAAGCACCAGCAGATTCTCTTCCAAAAAGTTATATACATCAATACATTTATGGAACTTAAAGATTTAATTTATTTAATTTTATTTGAGGGTTGGAATCCTGGGTTCACTTAATCAAATTAAAACAAGTATTAGAAGCTGAACTAGTTGGGTAAATGCGATGTCTCAGGAGGTAAAGGTGTTTGCTGCCAAGATCTACAACTTGGGGGGGTTGGGGGAGGGTACAGGAGGAGGGGAGGGAAAGGGAGAGGGACCTGGAACTGACTTGTGAAGCAACCTTGTTTCTTATCTAAATTTAAACTGAAAAATAAATTAAAAAAAGAAAATGTGATCCAAAGTCTTCTTAAGACACCAAATAAAAACCTTTAAAATGAAAAAAAAAAAAAAGATCTACAACTTCTATACCCAGGACCCACATGGTTGGAGAGACCCAATACCTGTGAGTTGTCCTCTGTCTTAATTACTTTCCAATTGCTATTTAGAGACACCACGATGAAGCAACTTATAGAAGAAAAAATTCATTGGTGCTTACAATTTCAGAAGTTGTGTCCATGACCAACTTGGCAGGGAGCATGGCAGCAGGCAGGCATGGTACTAGAGCAGCAGCTGAGAGTTAACATCTTATCCAAAATCAGGAGCAAAGAGAGACAGAGAGAGAGAGAGAGACAGAGAGAGAGAGAGGGAGAGAGAGAGAGAGAGAGAGGGAAAGAGGGAAGGAGGGAAGGAGGGAGGGAAGGAGGGAAGGAGGAAGTGAGGGGAGGGAGGGAGGCAGAGACACAGAGAGCTAACTGGGAATGGTAGAGACTTTTGAAACCTCAAACCCTACCCTCTGTGACATAACTCCGTCAATGCCACACCCCCTAGTCCTTCCCAAGCAGTTCCATCCACTGGGGACCAGATATTCAAATATATGAGGTCATTCTCATTCAAACCACCATATCCTATGACTTTCTCACTTACAGCATATCATGTGATTGTACACACACACATACACACACACACACACACACACACACACACACACACACAGCAAGCCACTGGTGAGCTACTGGGCTACAAAGGGCTAAGGATGTAAATGAAGACAAAGACATCAGCACATTCTTACATGGAGGATGGCATTTATTTTAACTAGGGTGGAGCCTTGTATACCAATGGAAAAACACCAAGGTCAGAAGCCTATGTTCCTAGGGCCCTTCGGCAAAGGGTGGGCAAAAAACAGGAATTAGCATTTAGACAATAAGGATGGACAGAAAACAGGAACTTGCCCACAGACCTTACTGGGAGAAGGGGATGAGAAGTGTTTTGTTAAAAGCTCCTAGTCACAAGCAGGTCAACAGACCCCCATGGGGGAAGGGTGCAACACACACACACACACACACACACACACACACACACACACACACACACACACACACACAAATGAGCTACCAGAACCACTGAGTTTGCAAATGAAGAAAATTTGGATTTGAGGTCAGTATCCTGACCATAAGGTCAGTGACCTGGGGAAGGCTGTTCTGCTCTTCATTTTTTATGGTTGTGCAATGAAAAAAAAAAAAAAAACCAACCAAACCAAACCAAAACATTTTCCCCCTGTCCTTCCACAGTCTTTGTGAGGCAGAGATTGGGTAGTATGAGAGGTTTTTTGTTGTTTTGTTTTCTTATGTTTTCATGCTGTTAACTGTTAATGTGAATGCTAGTTTGTTAAGAGGACAGTGATGACAGTAGGTAGCAATTCCTGTGCCCGTTATGGTACCTGATGTCACTCAGGAATCACTGAGTCCTCTTCACTATGGCCCTTCTCGTATCATGGCTGATTCCTGAGCACCACAATCCTCTAACACCCATAGCTGGGTTCAGGGATCAAACAGGAGTCTAGGGTACAATAGCTAAATCACAGCTGTGCTATTAGCTGGCAAATTTTTGCTAACCCCTCAGTGTTTCTGCCAACCCAAGGCATACTTTTCAGTTCACAGACTCCTGTCACTTTCTGTTAGAGGCTGAGAAAGGTCTAAAAGCCTTTCCGTGGTTTTGCAAAGGAAACACAATTGTCAGAAAATCCAACATGTACAGTTTTATAATGGCCTGACCCTTATTCTTTTAACATATATTTAGTATATGAATATGTAAAAATTGATAACAATTTGTGATGAACAGTCACATGCCACCCATTCATTGTTTTAAAAAAAAGTAGAAGAAACATCTGCAATATATAAAAGCCTTTGGGGCTCCTCCTCACTGCAATCCAGGTAAGCAACATCTTGAATTTTATTGTTTGTCATATAATGTATTTCTTGCTATTTTTTCTACTGATAAACATTGATTTAAAAAAATCAGTTCTTACCAGACACATCACCATTCTAGATCTCAGTATTCCTTCATACTCTTCTTTTAAAGTGGTAAAATTTTCATTTTTATACCTGTTTTTAACATCTTCAGAACTCAATCTGGGGATACTTACATACACATATAACACATATACATCAGTCCTCATCTTTATACCGGATGGGATGCCTCCTGTCCCATTCCTCCTCCTCTTTATTTGCATTAGCATGTGGACTTCCTGTTCCCACCAAGTGAGTCAGTGGAGACAGAATGGATGTCATTGCCTCCTGGGGGGAAAATGCCATACTGTCTCATAAAGTCGCAAAAAGCACTAGCTTGAGTCAACACTGGGGGAAAAAAAAGAGAGAGAGAGAGCTCACATAAAAGTCTAGGTTTCTGACTTCTTTCAAAAAATAGAATAGAAAACACTGATAACACAGTGCCCCCCCAAACCAGGCAGCAGCTGACTTTCTCAGATGGGCACGCTCCATGTTGCTGTATTTCTATGATCTTTTTTTTCCATTTATTACACCGGGACTGCTGTTAAGGTAAAAGCATTTTCTTTATCTGCACCAATAATATGAACTGTGTCAGCACAACAAATCAATCAAAAGGGCAATGCCTGCTCTGAAGTCACCCTCAAACTTAAGCAAGCATCTCCCTATCACAAACTGTGTTCTCATTCTCTTAGCAAGCAGATTGCTGCCTCCAAACACTCTGCTATACAAATTTACCCTGGTTACCATCACCTCAAGCCCCACCTACCTGTCACTCAAGCCCTGCTTACCAACCATCAGCCTCTTTCCTTGTCTAGACTCTTCTCAGGGCAATGAGAATGGAAATGAGAAAGAGAATGAAAGGGATGAATGTCAAAAGACTCCAACTTAAATTATATCTTTGAATTTAGGAGTGAGGCACAGACATTCACGCCAAGCTGATAGGATTATTTGCAGAACAATTTCATAGATATTTTTGAATATGCTGCATAAAGCATTTTAGTGAAATTAAGATGTCTGCATCTCATTTCAAGCCAATCTAAAGATATGAGGATGAAGGATAAACTCTAACCTTGGGAATTATATCAAAGAGATAAACCCACAAGACAGAAGCACTCGGTAGACTGATAGATAATGGTAGAAAAGGGGGTGGTGGTGGGCAGGCAAGTAAAGATACTGTTAGTCTTCCATTATCAGCATCTGTAGAAGAGAGTTACTTTGTGTCAGAACTGTCAGATAAGAGAAATAATTCTAGTTACAAGTAATAAGTTGTCTATGAAGAATAGGTATAAATAATCTGGTTTTTATATCAATTATTTATAAGAACATTCTAATTATTATTTTGGTTATAATGTATCAGTTAATAGGCATGATGTCTGAACATCTGATTTACAAACCGCTGTTAACTTTGGGGTGGTTTCTCAATTATTACTCACAACCCTCCCCCACAAATCATTCTTCCCATATGTGACACTCTTGCTTTTTGTTATTCCACTGTAGGTCACACAAGAAGTGAAGTATGGAGCTAGCGAACAAAATGCCTGAATATATCAGCTTTAGCTTCAGCATCTATTCCCACTGTAGAACCCCATTTCACACATGCACCCCCACTTCTTCCCTAGGCCCCTCAGACATTTCTGTTAAAGGAATGAAGTCAAATAGAGCAAATGCACTCTTGTTTTTGTTTGTTTTTTAAATGTAAAAGTAAATATTGCTTTTCCTTTAGAGATAATGCTATAAGATATAGCTCCAAGTATCTGGGATAGCACTGTGCTCAAGCATATTTTGGTAGATTAACCAGTTTGAATCAGAATGGGACCCCATATGTAACTGAAGGATATATTACACACTTCAAATCTGTGTACAAATGAAAAAGTAAAAACAACCTACTTATGAACTTAGGAAATAAATTACTACTCATCTGAGAAATTTAACCACATAGCTTCTTTATCTCTAGATTTGGGACAGAAGAATTAATGCTGAGTTTAAATAAAGAGCCTTAAATTTAATTTATTCACTAGAATTTTGTTGAGTAACTACCATATATCTGGCATTGTTCTGGACTCTCTCCTCTCTCTCTCTCTCTCTCTCTCTCTCTCTCTCTCTCTCTCTCTCTCTCTCTCTCTGTGTGTGTGTGTATGAGTATGGATATGCATATGTATGTTCATACATGGGCACATATGTTTGTAGGAGTCAGAGGTTGAAACTGGTGTTTTATTCTATCACTTTACACCTTAATTTTTGAGACATGGTCTCTCATTGTACCTGGAACTTGCTAATTCAGCTAGAATGGTTGGCTAGCAAGACCCTACGGATCCTCCTGTCTCTGCCTCCCCAGAGAGCTCACAGATACAAACCACTGCTCTTGACATTTTACATCAGTGCTGAGAGTATAACTCAGATTTTCCTACTTGCCTTGTATGTACTTTACTGATGGATCTGTATTCCCAGTCCCTGTATTTGATTTTAAGATATAAAATAATTAAAAACGATGAGGTCCCTGCCACCATGAGAGTTTCAGTCGAACAGAGGGGACCGATACTAAATAGTTGACTACACAAATAATCAGATACTAATTCCTTCCAGTTTTGCAAAGGCAAAGCACCCCACCCCATTACTATAGTGAGTATTGCCCTGGCTAGCTTTGTTAACTTGACACAACCTAGAGTCACCTGGGAAGAGGGAATCTCAATTAAGATTTGCTTCCATTAGACTGACCTGTCTGACCTGTCTGTGAGCCTATCTGTGGGAAATTTTCTTAATTGCTAATTAAGTGGGAGGTCCAGCCTACTTTGGGCAGTGCTATCCCTAGGCAAGTGGGCCTTAGCTGCTGTATAAGAGAAGTTGTGGAGCAAGCCAGGGGTGCAAGCTAATCATGGATTTTTTTTTTGTTTTTGTTTTTGTTTTTACGAGACAGGGTTTCTCTGTATTGTTTTGGAGGCTATCGGTCCAGCCCGGCCTTGAACTCACAGAGATCCGCCTGCCTCTGCCTCCCGAATGCTGGGATTAAAGGCGTGCGCCACCACCGCACGGCTAAAAATGTGTAGCCCAGGCTGGCCTCGAACTCGTGATCCTCCTGCCTCTGCCTCCTTCAGCAAATCCTACCGGCATGCGCCACCACAACCGGCGCTAATCATGAATTTGCTTCATGGTTTCTGCTTCTGTTCCTGCTTTAGTTACTTTTGTGACTTCCCTTAATGATTGACTGTGGTTGAAAATATAAGCCAAGCAAACTCCTTTCTTCCTAGGTTGCTTATTAAGGTCATGGTGCTTATCACAGCAATAGAAAGCAAGCTAGTACAGGTGTCTAACCTCCTTTATGAATTAGGAAAGACCAAGGTAGGCTAAACTTGGGCCTGAAAGGTATTTAAATATTGGCCACTTAAGCAAGTAGAGAACTAGTTAGAGAGGCTAGTAACTAAAGAGAGTACAAAGTTAGAAGGAGCTTAGGTTGTTGGAAGAAGTAAACAGAGGTCTAAGTGAGTACAGCATAGTAATACAAGTTAGGATGGGAATAGATGGTAATTCCAGATCAAGTGGATGCTGTAGACATGGCAAAGTCTTCAGAGTTCTTTCTGATTATCAGTGGGAAACCAGTGCAGTATTTTAATTAGGATAGGACATAATTAAATTTAGGTTTACATCCAGTGTCTAGCAACCCCAGGTAGTTGTAGCCATACCTGCACCATCTTACCTCAATCCACCATATTACCATGAGTGGCATCCTGTTAATGGATTTCTAAGATCATTCTTGATGTAAATCCTTAAAATATAGATCATCCTGTCTCAAATTCCTTCCTAGAAAAGTGACTAAAGCTTTGGACTAAGGAAAGAATAATTAATTACTAATGTTTTTGTTATTTCACCTTTAATCTTTTAAAATTTAAATTATTTATCAGATTTGCTACTAGCCTCTAATCTCCTGTCTAGAAGTTTGATAGGAGCTCAGAATCAATTCTTAGGTCAGCAGGAATTCATTCAGGGAATTGAAATGGTAATTTAATAACAAGCTAGCATGGAAGCCCATTTTCTTATCTTCATATTTCTTTCTGTATTTGGATCATTCTGCCAATCAGCAGTTACTCATGGCTTGAGAGAGTTAATGCAGCATCCAGATTGTTGAGTTTGTGTGCAGGAGATTGTACTTGGAGAGTCAGACTTACAAAATTCTTTGTTGCAAGCATACCCACGGATCCTTTCATGTCAGTACCTTTTAAAGAAATTAAATAAGACCAGAATACACAGTTTAAATCCATCCCAGACTCCTGCTATTGTTTGCTTACTGTGTGCAGAGCCCCCCCTCTCTGATCATCAGAGAGCTCCGTCTGTAGAAGCAGTGAGTGTGGGGGTGGGGTGGACAGAACGTGATTTTGGCCTTCCCCTGCACACGGCTGTCTTTTCTAACAATGCACGGATGCTTGGTCCATCTGTTTTCAAGGACTCACAGAGTAGTCAGTAAAACTTTCTATTCAGTGTTAGAAGCTGCATTGCCAGATATTAATAACTCATTTTATTTATAACTGATTTGCCAAAGTAGGAAAAAACAAGTGGTACTCATGAAGTACTTGGTAGTAGCCAAATTTCAAAGGTCAGATGCTCCAAGTGCAGAATGAGAGAGAGAAAGCATTTTGTGTTCACACTCTTAGTGTATAAATGTTCGAATGCGGCTCCTTTCCCCAACCACAATACTGTTATCTAAGGCCTTGCCTCCCTCTAGAGCCCTACTCCAACACCCAGTCCAATGGTTACCATCCAGGAAGTTTCCCAGGCTGCAGACTTTCAAGGCTGTTCTCATGGCCCTTTATTTTCATTCCAAGTGGTCTCGCTTTGGTAAATTATGGTCACAATCCAGTGTCACAAACTGATCCATGAATTCTTTTCCCAATGATTATGTGATGCTGAGCCTCTTCTGGAGATAATGACTACACAAAACCATGGCTATAATAGCGACAGATTTCAGCTATGTATGCAGCAAGAGGTTTGTGGGAAGGCAGGGTCTTTCTCTTGTCAGCTTCATGTGCTGTGGTTGTGAGAATAGTGACAGACTTCTAAGGAATCAAGAATGGAAGAGATGCTAGGAGACAGCCTAATGAACTTCAGATTTTCAAAAGAGAATTACACATGGCTGTACAATGTTTCCTTTTCCTTTGCTTCATAAAACATTGGTTTTTGGCTTAGTTTTCTTTATTTTGAGAAATTATTTTCCTCATGGAGGCAGGGGTATCACTTGGGGTGTTTTGTTGCTCCCAAGCCATGTGGTTGATATGCGACTCAATAGAGCATCAAAATGATTGAATTTATGTGACTTTATTCTCCCTGCTAGGGGTACTTTGTAGAGGTTATTCCTTAAT